CGGGCGCGCGCCGTTCTGGCGCCGCACGCCCCCGTCCGCGCCCCCGGGACTCGTGCGCGGTTGGCCCGCCCCCCGGCGGCGGCGCCTGCGCAGGAGCGCCGAGATGTAGCCGTCCAGGGGCCGGCTGGCCGCCCCGTCGGGGGAGCCGCATGGCACGCGTCCACTTGGCCGTGGGCTGCGCAGAGCCACCGCGTGCAGCGGGCTGGGTGTCAGGAAGGGCCCGGCACGAGCCCGCCGTTCCGCGGACGAGCAGGTTTCAGCTCCGGCTGCCGTCGGATAGGGAGCTGAGAAAGATCGAGGCACTGCAACCCGGGCACCCACCGACTCGGGAGCGCTGGGACTGGCGTCGCCTGCAGAAGAGAGACAGAGGAAGAGAAAGGAGGGATTCTCAAAGGCCTTTTTTAGCCTAGCATTTGAAGCAGCTGAGGCAAGAGGATCACCTGCAGTCCTGGGCCAGCCTGAGCTATGCAGCAAGTTAATAGTGTAAAATAAATAAATTAAATAACAGACTACGTGGTGAACAAATGCGATCTATCACAAAACTGAGGAGATGGAGGCCATGCTCAGTTACTGAGCATGTTGGAGATTCCACCCCAGCCCCCACTCCCGTCAAAAAAGAAAAAAAGTTGGGCATACTGGTACAAGCTTGTAGTCTCAGCACAGGGTAGATGGAGCTAGGTGGATCAGGAATTTAAGGTTGCCCTCAGCTACATAGCAAGTCTGTGGCCAGCCTGAACTACGTGAGAGCCTGTCTTAAACGACAACTAAGTTGGGTGTGGAGACCCACACCTGCCAATACTTCCAACGCTGGAGAGACTGAGGCAGGAGAACTGCTGCAAGTCCAGGGCCAGCCTGATCTACACAGGGAGTTCAGGTCAGCCAGGGTTACATACAGAGACTAGGATAAAATCAAGGCTTCTCTCCCCCCGCCTGGATAGGACAAGCCCCGCCCATCCCACCCCGTCCTCCCTGAAGACCCAGCCTCACTCATCCCCTCCTGCATGGTTGATGACAAAATCCCCTCAAGTCTCTATTACCCGTCTTGCTCTGACCTCTGACCCACTGCTTACACATTCGTATCCTTATATCTGCAGCCACGGTGACCTCCTAGATGTCCCAAATTGCCAGACTCTGGCCCCAGGGCCTTGCACTTGTGATTTCTGCTTCCTGGCCTGTTCTTCAGAGTGTCAGTTTGGCCTATTCTTCTCATTTCCCTCAAATGTCAGGGGTCAGGGGCTCTGTGAGTCTTTCTAAAGCCAGCTCCCTCTTGAGACCATGCTTGGTGGTGGGAACCTTTAATGCCAGCACTTGGGAGGCAGACAGGTGGATCTCTGTGAATTTGAGGCCAGCCTGGTCTATATAGTGAGTTTCAAGATAGCAGGGCTATATAATAGAGAGAAACCTGTCAAGAAGAAGGAGAGAAAGAGAAAGAGAGAGACAGGTGGAGAGAGACAGAGGCAGAGAGAGGGGGAGATTAGGGACTCTTAGTGGCCTGGAACTCAGAGATCTGCCTGCCTCTGCCTCCTGAGTGCTGGGATTAAAGGTGCACACCACAATGTCTGGTGATGAAGACACTCTTAGGACCCATTAATTAAATGGAAGCTCAGAAGGAAGACAGACACTTAAAAAACTCCTCCAAGACTGACAGTCCCAGCCAGAACTGGGAGTCCAAATTGGACTCAATTTTATGTTCAAAGCTATCTTCTGTCACAGGGCCTACCCATCCGCCGTACCTAAGGACTTGGGTCTCTCGCTGGCATAGATGCCCCGGGGGTCCGAGGGACCCAGGCGTCCATAGGAGCCAGATCCGGAGAAGCCACTGTCCCCGCAGAAGGTGGAGGGTGGTGAATCTGGGCCTCCTGTAGAACTGGGGTCTTCATAGAAGCCTGGATTCCAGGAAGAAGCTGAGATAATTAGGGGGCTGGGGTGGGGAAGGGAAGAGGTGGGTCTGGGAGAGAGGGACTGCAGAGATAGAGGATACTGAGAAAAACTGGGGTGTCCCAGAGAGACCCCAACCCCTTACCTGAGCTGCGCCCACTCTCCTGGTCCAGGCCACCAGACTCCAGACTCAGGTCTCCCAGCTGCTGGCCCAGGTCCCAGATGAGCCCAGGCAGGGCCTCCTGAAGCACAAGGAAAACAAGGCCGTTAGAAGGCTCCAGAGTGCCAGGCAGTGGTGGCGCACACCTTTAATCCCTGCACTTGGGAGGCAGAGGCAGGCGGATTTCTGAGTTCGAGGCCAGCCTGGTCTACCGAGTGAGTTTCAGGACAGCCAGGGCTACACAGAGAAACCCTGTCTTGAAAAAAACAAAAAAAAAAAAAAAAGGAGAAAGAAAGAAAGAAAGAAAAAGAAGGCTCCAGAGCCCACCTGCCTCCTGTTCGTGACTTCCTGACAGAGATCCACTTGGAAATGTCAGCCCCCTGTCCCTCCTCTCTGTTGGGAAGTCCTGTCTAACTTCCAGCCTTCATGTTGTAAACCCATCTCTGTGGGTTAAGACTTCAGAAGCGCCCATTGTTTGTTCATTCTCTGTTAGCTATGCCTGCCTCTTGTCCCTAAACCCTGTGAAAACAGCTCTTCTCCGGTCTCACTTCACACCTTCGTTCTTTTTGTGTTTTGAGGCACCATCTCTCTCTGCAGCCCTGGTTGTCCTGGAACTTACTCTGTAGACCAAGCTGGCCTC